ACTAGACGGTCGAAAGTAATTATAATTATATTAAGCCAGTGAGTAGAAATTGTGACAAAAATTAGGGAATTCACTATACCTCGGTAGATTCCGATACATTCAGTACATCAACAAAGCATTTTTTGGTCTGAAAGAACCTGCCCCAAACGTCACAGCAAATCGGTAAATGGCCGTCCCACTCCTATTGTCACCCTGTTCGATCTCCTTTGATCACCGGCGTAGCTAAAACCGTCCCGAAAGAGTCTCGTCGTTGAAAACAAACACGCGAACGCCTCGCAATCTGGATGCCCATCCCGTAAATCAATTACGTCTTCATCCAAAGCCCCGTTGTCGAATTCCCTGCTCTTCACGCTCCGACCATCAGCGATATTATTCGTAACCGTGACGATCTCCCGTTCACGGCCTTGAAGACGGGGCCTCTGGTTCCATGAAGGTTCGGGTGCGGTGATCCTCGAACGAGCTACCAACTGGCCAACTCGCAGGGGTACTTCTCGCCCCCGCCAGGCGAACGCGGGGTTCCGGCGATGAGTAGCATGAAGACATTAGGAGAGTTTGTTTTGTCCTCGCCACGGGGCGCACCAGGGCTCGAAAACCCCCGAAGGTAGCTTGACGTTAACGCCGAGTCGAACTATCACCGGGTGGTCCACCGAGTTCAGTTTTCCTTCCGCTTTTCGTCCACTACCTACCCATGAAAATATTCTCTCTCTCCGTCTCTCTATCTGGTTGCCTTCTGTTTGGCAATCCTCGCGTCTCGCAGGCGACGCACAAACACCACCGATAATAAACATTGATGGGACATCAGCGAGGGAAGAGTAACCCACGTAATGGAACAATTGCCTCCTCCTTTTTTTCTCTCTCTCTCCAGTGGGCTTTCCCTAGAGACGGTTTTCCATGGAACGAATCTTCGTTACGCTGCACCTCCAATTGAGGGAACTATTATTTGAAATAAGGAACCTCGTACATGTGACAATACTATTTCTTTCAAAATTTTATGATGACCATTGTAATAGATTACATTCCATTAAATGGAATTATAAGAAATACTGAGTTTGAGTTCATACTTTTGGTTAAAGTCATTCATGCCTTTAACTAAACTTTCTTCATTCATTTTAATTCAGTTCAAATTAAGTCAGTTAATTCTAGTATTATTTGTTTATATTTTTCAGTTACTTTTTATTTTCTTTAAGTTTTTATTTGGATCGTTTGTTGTTAATATTATTTAAGTTTGCTCTTTTATGCACATTTTAAAGGGCTTATACTCGTTAATGAAGTAATAATAATAGTAGAAAAAGAAGGAAGAATCGTTGGATTTTTTGTAATACTTGTAGAGGGTCACGTCGTGTTTCGTACTAAGCGTCGATTCCTTAGACATAAAAAATAGTGGTCTCTTAAAAAACGAAAGTGGTCATGCGTTAAAAATCGTTTAACTTGAAGATCCGGAAACAATTACAGACTCTGTCTAATTTTTAGCATGAATTAAGGAAAATCTTGAGGGGACGAAAAAATCGCAATTATAATCTTTCTGTTTTGCGAAAGTGATCCTCAATAATGCATTAAAAACAGTCTGGCTTAAAAATTTGAGAAAAATCTCGGACTTCAAAGTTTCTCTACCGTTTCTAGTGTAAATTCAGTTAACCTGAAGGAAATCGAAGAATTCCAATGATAATATTCCTGATATTAACCGATTGATAATTCCTATCGTATTTTCTAATAAGTAGCAAACATTGTACTTTGACTTTTAATAAACAGATAAAGGACGAACCTCAATTATTTAATCATTGATCGATTGACCAAAATGAAAACCGTTTATCGAACCCTTGTTACTATCAGTAATATTCGCGATATCAATCCATTGATAAATCCTATCATATTTTATGATAAATAGCAAACATTAAACATTCACCTTTAATAAACAGATAAATGGCGAACCCCAATTATTTAGCCATTGATCGACTGAACAGAATGAAAACTACCCTTATGTACCCTATTACTATTAGTAATCCCCTCCAGGTACCAGATAAAAAAACACTTACTCAAGAAGACAGCATGGTCTCTACCAGAGCAGAAACCATCGTGCTTGTATCGAGTCGTCGACTGTTGGGCGTGTCGCAGTGGGTGGCTCCTCGGCTTTGGATTGGCTAGCAGTACCAGAGGAAACAGGTAATTTACTCGAGAACCAGCAAGAGCACGTTCTCCACGGAGTTGAACCCGGTTACTTCAAAGTCAAACACCCCACCAGCTGGTGGTGTTACAAGAAACACTATGGGAGTGGCCAAATGTTAGTTACCCTGGTGGCCGGTGATCGTAGAGGCTTAGTCAGGATCAGAAAGCCGATCTGTCGAGGTCCAACTTTAGTTGCCGAAGGACCTTGTGTTTTATGCAGGTGCCGAAGCGCGATCAACGAACGAAAAAGAACGAGGAATTAAGTGATGGACTGATTCTGATACCGCGATACGTTACGGAGTCTCGCAGTGGATTAGATCGGCGCAGGTCAGACGGCGAGGTGTTTAATAGTGCTCCGTTTTCTATATTTATTATATATACATATATATATTTATATATATATATATATTTTACCGGTTATTGTATCGGCGCACGAACTGTGCTCAGTGATCGGGGATCTTCGGTTAGTGAAACATCATTGATTACTTTGGTGACAGACTGAGTGACAAGGTGCTATTGGGAGCTCGTGTGGCGTTTCGTGGGACCGGCTAGATGAGATGACGGTGACCACTAATTTCTCGATGATGCGACCTTGCTTCACAGGATACCCCTTCCAAGGTAACATAAGTGATCTTTCAGAAATTGCGTAAAACTAAAAACTTAGAACAAGAAAAAAATTGAATACTAGAATTTCAGAAATTTATATAAAAATTTAATTAATCAAATTGTTGAAATTCATTTTAATTAAAAAGCGTTTTCAATCATCAACATTGGAGTTATAAGTAAAAAATTCGAGACGGATACAACTGTTTAGAAGTCAGAAAATTGTGGACTGTTTTATATCAACATACAACGATTCACTGTAATTAAAGAGTATTTTTAATTAGCAACGTTGAAGTAATAAATAACAAATTCAGGATGAGTACAGCCGATTATAAGTCAGAAAATTGTGGACTATTTTATATGAACATACAATGATTCGCCCTAAATTGTCGAATTGTAGTAATAATTAAAAATGTCACGGTAGCTAGGGCACAGTATAAAAAAATCATAAGGAGGTGAAAACTAGAAAATTGTAGACTATGTATTGACTAAGCGAGGTTCTGGGGTTGGAAAATTGACGTCAACTCCTCGTGGTGTTTGGAAAGTTTTTGGGGATGAAAAGTGAGAATCTTTAAAGACAGATATATAACCATACCCGACCCGGCAAGACCGGAACATTACCATTAATGGCCATCATAAATAACATATTTTTCGAAGACCGTCGCTTCCAGTACCGTCACGTCTTCGGCGTCCCGCCTTTTTCTCGTTCATAAAAAATTTTCGTGAGTTCGTCCGTCCTAGAGTAAAGCAAACGTACCAATTTCTCTTCACTAGGCAATTTCTATTGACTGGCTTTTTTTCTACAATTTTAAGATAACGGGAAAATAAATATTCTAAATAACAACATAGGAAAGGCCAAGTCGAGCACATTTAGTTGATTCAGGACAATTTCAATTTCATTAGGCAACTAAAAGGAAATACATAGTTTACTTTCATTAATTGTGTACTTGAAAACGTCTTATATCTACTTCGGAACGTTTTTTGAAACCATAGATCAGTTTCGAGCTTAAATCCTTCATTTTCAATGTATGAGATTTAATTCTTGACTTGAGGATCTTAAGGAGAATTTCAATTTCATTAGGCATTTAAAAGGAATCAGTTTAGTTAATTCCTTACTTGAACACGTCTTATATCTACTTCAAAGTGTCTTTTGAAACCATATATTAGTTTCAAGCTGAAATTCTTCATTTATAACGTTTGAAATTTAATTCTTGACTTGAGGATCTTAATAAGAGAATTTGAATTACGTGTCAGGCAATTAAAAAGTCGTTTGAGATTATTGAATCGTTCATGCTGATTGAAAGAAGAAATTCCTCAGTATAATTAATCGACTAATTACGAATGGACCGTGTAATCGTCAGACATGTCCCAGGAATCGTTGCCGGAAAATACATTAGATCTTGAGAGTTTCTCAAATGAAGTTCGTTCCTAGGTTTATGATGTAAGTTACTCGAAATCTATTCGCTGTTTAAATCAACACGATTCTACGTGTGTAATAATTATATCCTTGAATAATTCTAATTGCACATGCAACGATTTCAATTGTAACAGGCATCTAATGATTCCAATTGCATTTCACTGGCACTCCTATTCAAGCGACGGTCTGTAAAGAGCAACAATAATACGCGTTAACTAAGAAGCACAATACAATTCTAATGCAAATGATGAGCTCTTTGTTGAATTGTTGTTATTTGCGCGCAAACACCTAGGCGATCGTTTGTCAATGTCCAACATTACGCGGCGCGCTGCTACCGCCAGTTTTTAATCGCATGCAACAATTAGTCACCGAATCGTGCACGCACCCAAGGTATATGCAAAATGGAATCGTTTAAGAACGCGTAATTAAATATTTCTTGGAAGATTAATAATGCCACGTGCGGATGCGTTTTCGCAATTACTTCTCATCACCCGTGCGTCGATGCCTGCTGTTGATTATACATTTCGTACCTGAACGTTCAAGTAGTCGTGAGAAATATTTCTTAATCAATGTTTTCTTTAATCGAAATAGCAAGGTGAAATATCGAACTAACATTTGCATGAAATAATGTTAAATTATAATTGATACGAAATATTTGATCAAAATCGGTGTGAAATAAATTAAAATTCACGAAATATCGTCCAATTAGTCGGACAATTAGCATCGGGTTTTTCTTTTCATCCCCCAAAGGTTTCTCATTAGAAAAACTGCGGAACCTCGTCCCGTTTTTCGGTTGCCACTCAATGCATAGCTCGACGGGTTATGCAATCGAATCCGCGCATGCAATCGAAACCGAAGTTTCGCTGTTTTTCAGCCGTGCGATTGCAAGCTTTTTTTTCCATTGTCCGGCTGCAATTACACGATTTCGTTCTTCTTCCCTCGTCAAGGTGACGCGATCTCCACACCGTGAGAAACCGGTCAATTTCTAATCAACAACGTTGTTAAATGATTCGACGTGTTCCTTTTTTTTTTTCCCCTAAGGATTTTTCCGCTTCGAAGGAGCGGCTGTTAAAAGGTTTGCCTCACCGTTTTTAGAAAAAAAACTCGTAGGCTGCGATGGAAAAATCGAAAGCGTAATTTATGTAGCAACTATTTCTCTTCATTTATTGTTACTCGTTCGTTCATTGTATCAATAAATTATGATCATTTCGAGGAACTCGTACAACTTCTAAATCGTTCTCCCACACACGACTGCTCTTAAACCGCACAAAAAATTTCTATTAAAAACCGCCAGTAAAAAGGATAAAAATTACGTCGTCGCGATATTAATGCGCAGATCAATAATAAAAAATGTATAATTACGACTCGCGGTGTCTACTCAACCGTGCGATCTTTTTTTCTCTTCAGATCCGTGCAGTTCGCGCGAGTAATTACAAAACGGAGTGAGTGGATGATATCAGAATACATATTAAAACGACAATAATAATAATTCGTTTTTCTCCCGTAATGTCTCGGCTTCGACAGTTGGTACACAATGCATTGATTGTCGTCATTGCCTGACGTTTTTCCTCTCGTTACCGTCTTGCAAAAGTGACTCACATTCGTACACGTGCCATGTACATATGTCATGTGCACCCACACATAGAATATGTTTATCATACGAATACACACACGTACATACACACGTTCATATAATTACTTCTACATACGATTATAGAATCACTTGTAAATAGACTTGTATATAGATTTATACAAAGATTTGTATACAGATTGGTACATAGATTTGCACACAGATTTGTATACAGATTTGTACATAGATTGGTAGATACATCAATATTTACAGGTGTTGGATTTAACTTCTTGTTAGATTCTGATCAAGATCGATCGAAGTTGCCGTAATATTCGCCGCGCGATTCTAGCTTTGTTTGCCGCACTCGTAAAGAAACCGAGTAGCTCTGTTACGTTCGAATTAACAGAAGCGTTTTTAATCCGCGATTCAAGGCTCCCCGACTGAGAAAAAGACCGGCGGCTGCTGAAAGTAGATCTAGGTCCGCGGGCTTTGAACTTTAATCTACAATCTAATTACCAGGCCGCGGATGCTTATGCATTTGTAAGAATTTTATACAATTTAAAGAAACACAGTAAAATGTGAAGAAATACAAAATATTTAACGTAAAATACAATTTATAATATTCAGAGAATACAAATGCCTATAAACACCTCGAATTATAAAAATAGGAATTTGTATAAACAGTTTGTTAATTATTATCGTAAGTAAAAGATTTTCAGTAGTTAAAAAGAATCGGTTT